CCCCAAAACCCCAAAACCCCAAAACCCCAAAACCCCAAAAGTAGCTCTTCTTACTGAAATTCAATAAAATTATTAATAATCTGACTCAAAAGAAAATTTATAATTCTAGAGTGTAATCTTTATAATAGGTCCAGAGTTTAGAACAGAGAGGAAAGTCCTTAAGCAGGAATGTTATTGGTCTGTTGGGAATAGGTCTCAGAAGGAGTGTTTTGTTTGGGAGATAGGGAATTTTTGAGAATAAGTGGGAAGAGGAGATTGGGGGAAGGGGGATTGAAGGGGGTTGAAGGGGGTTGAAGGGGGAAGAAGGGGTTTTTATGGGGATTTTTAGGGGGTTAAGGGAGATTTGTGGTTGAGGGTGGGGGAAGGGAGTTGGTCCGGAAATCGATTCTGAGGGGATTTTGTGTTTCAGAAGGTTCTTGTATAGGTAGCTTGGTAAAGGTTACTTTCTTGCCATGGTAGAATTGTCGTTGGTTCTATAAATATTTTTAATGTTTAATTCTGTTACTGTCATGAATGTTTGATTGATGCTACTTCTGGGTCTGATAACTTTTTGTGCTGCAAAATCTATGCGCTCGATTCTATTTCTCATCAACTATTCTCTCAAGATCTAGAAATTTCATATACACTTAACCTTTTTGTAGAACTTTGTTCATATGATTCTTCAACTTTCTCTTCTGAGCAGAGCTACTGAGCGATTTCCTTCTTACAAAATTGGATGGGATAGAGCAAGTGTTTCTTCGAACACCAAATATTCATTTAGGGCTAAAATTTTGAACTATACAAATGATCTTAGATTATTTTTATCATAAATTTGTTCAATATTTACAAAAATAGATCTTACCTTGTCATTTTGGACTTTTCAGAGATAAATTTGATATTTCCAGCCTTTGATCTTCTGTAACATACTCTTTCGTTCTAAAATTATCAGCGGAGATGTTACTTCTTAGACAATGAACCCATGGCGCTTAACGAGCGGAAGCAACCCTTGGGAGATTTCCTGTTGCTAATCTTTTTATCCTTAATTTTGAGGTTAATAATCTTAGCAATGCTCTCGTTTGAAAGAAGAGTTGGGTACTGATTTCTAATAGCTTGGCACTTTATAAGATGCTCATCCTTTTCAATCTCATTCTTATAAATCCTAGAGAGTCTTTGAAACTCATCTCTGTAGTATGAATAGAGAAATATACTCTTTCTGGACACCAAGATATGGCTTAATCCTGTCTATTTTCTTCTTCATGGATTTAGTACTATTGAAGATAGAGTCTTCTTGTTGGCTGATGGTTCTAGCCGATTGTATTTTTACTCTAAGAGATAAGAAGAAATACGAACTCGATTCCTTTCTCAAGATTTATGATTATATCATCGTCATCTTGCTCTTGGCTGTTATGTAGTTTAAGAGAATGAACTTCATGAGTGTTTGTAAATTAAATTTCAAGATAGAAAGTTTATTTATAAAACAATCTCTGGTAAACTATTAATGATTCTTTAATATATAAACCAAGTGCTAATTTCATATAATTTTTAAAGGGAAATTCCACAAGAACGGTAGCATTTAACTAACTGTCTAAAACAGATTTTTGGGTATTCTATCAGTCTCAAAACAATTTGATAAGAAAATTCCTCCGGTATGAACGCTAAGATTCTACCAGATGTGGGGTTTAACTAACTATAAAACTCAATTCCATACGTTTCTTTTGGTCGAGCCATGACTTTTCTTCTGCGGCTGCTTCCTTGCTTATTTCTTGAAGGTGAACTTTTTCTAGTTGTTTGAACTGATCTTTCACTAGAAGTAAGATTTTCTTAGCCTACAACATGTTTGAATGGGTGGTAGTCTTTGTTCTTTTATGTAGATTATGCATAAAAGTGCCTGTACTGGCAATACCAGAGTGTTTGGGTCTTTTGAATTTTAAAGTTTTTGAATTTTTTGGCTCATTTTTATGGATTTTTATTTGGGAAATTTGTGGCTTTTTAGCTTGTTTTAGAGATTTGGATTTTTGAGCAAAGCTTCGAAGATTTTGAGCTTCGAGTTTATTTATTGTTCTGCAAATAGATGCTGGTCATCATAGGCTCTAGGATTTCTATCTTGTCCATTATTTGGTCTATTTTTTGGATTTCCTCTTCATTTTGTACATGAGATATGAAATTGTCAATACTTTGGGATAGGACTTTTAACTTTTTAAGCGTGATACTTGTCAACATTTTAATAATATCATCTCTATTTAATTCTCGCAAAGAAAGCATCAGATTGAATAGAGATTATTCGAGCCTTATTTACTAGTACATTTTGCACTTAGAAACCTTTGAGGACTTCTCATGAACACTTCTTCAAGCCCTAGAGTGTCTTTATCTGTAACCCTTCGGATTATTAAGCTCTTATTAGTTCTTTTATCCATAAACTTTCTAATTTCGTTGATTTCCTTAGTGCTTTGTCCTGCAATCAAGTTGCTCTAAATTAGTGATAACCAAGTTCTTACATGTTGTTTAAAAAAAATTAAGTGCTTCCTCTTGGCTTCCTCGGCTGGCTCGAGTAGTTTATACTCAAATTGTGGTAGCCTTGGATCTGAGTGAAGAATGATATTACTTAGAGACCTCAAATTCTCCTCGTACAATAAAGTAGAGTTTATTGTCTTTCATTCCTTCCTTAAAGACGACCTGGTCCTTATGCAGGTCATATATTTTAACTGCATAGAGAAGTCTTGATTTGAATGCTCTAGAGTACTCTTTAAAGAAGGCTATTCAGTCAAGCTCTTCTATTTTCTGTTCAATTTTTTGTTGTTCTAGTGCTTTAAGAGTTGAGTCATATTGCTCCTTGCTCAGAAGGGCAAATTCTGCAGGGGTTACAGTTTTTATAGTGGCGAGTCTGGGTTTGTTGTAGATCAGAGAGAGATCACCAAAGGAATCACCAGATTTTAGTTCAGAGATCTTTTTGAGATACTTTATTGTGTAATTTTCTGTTTCTAAGTTCGAGCTATCTATTGTAAGTTTCACACCTGGGCTCAAAGTCATTTGAGAAGCAAGCTCTTTATAATTCAGCCTCTTATTTTTCAAACTTCTGCTAAAAAGCGTATTAGAATAATGAGTATTGTGTACATGTGGCTTTTCTATATTGTCAAGTTTATCAACAATTCTTTTTAAATTCATTGTTCTAGCACTTTCTACAAGTTGCTCTGGGAGATCAGGCAATTCCCATTTCTCCTTCCCATCGATCAGGAGAATCATGTCTGAGTAATCTCAGATTAACTTATAGTATTCAAGAATATTCAGCTTGACATTACAAAAGTTTGGAATGTAGACAGCAACTGTTCCGTTGAGGATTACATAGAAATAACTCCCATAAGTTCCATATTTTATAACCTCATGGTCTTCATAGTCTATTTTTAAATATGTCAGCTAGATGTTATCTAGAATTCTACCTTTTTGTATCAGGAAATGACTGTTTCATGGTCACCATTTTGGCGTAGTTTCTGGAAGAACTTTGCTTTATCCAAGATCGTGCTGAGAGCTCTGATGTCAAAAAGATTTCTGAACTGCTCTTCTTTTTGTAAGATATTAGCTGTACAGGTTAATAGATCTCTTACTAATATAATCATTAGTTGGGTCATAACATTTGTTGAAGTAAATGTTGTCAATAATCAGCCTCATCGTGTAATATTGGATGGCCTCTTTATTTCCTCCTAGTGAGGATCTCGATTGTATAATGATTAAGGCTCCTAGCTCCTCTTTTACTGGTACCAAATTTCTTCCTAAATTGTTATTAAATAGAAACAAAGATTACTTTAGATCATCCTTTTGTTCTTTGAAGATCTTATTTAGCTCTGTTCCTCATTCCTTTGAAGATATTTGAGAGAGAACCACCCATTTCAATAGTCTCCATCCGGGCTGGCTTTGAAACATTGGCAACATTATTTGGAGCTAGAGAGTTTTCATCCATAATTATTCAATATATTTATAAGATTCTGGGGTTTTGGGGTTTTGGGGTTTTGGGG